CAATGGATAATTATTTGTAGCTGATAATATTTTGCAAATTTCGAATGATAATTGACCGAATCAAAATATGGCGTCCAATTTGAATTGCCATTGTTCTGGACTTACTAGCCTCTCACGCATGTGATAATCCCTCTGTGTTTCCACGTCAAGACGAGGCTAGTAAGTCCAAAACAATGGTAATTCAAATTGGACGGCATATTTCGATTCGGTCAATGAGGCAACACTTATCAGTCGCTTGTAAGGTATATCAATGTGCGGTTGTAGTCAATCGCTTTAATTTTTTCCTCTCAATTCGCTTGCAGTAACTGGTGACGTTACAAATGTGTAGGCTAAACGGGAATGGTCTTAATGTCCCTATTTTTCAAATCTCATACAACTTGCAAACTTCTTTTTACAGTGTTTTGTTATGAATGAAAATTAGTGCATTACCAATTCAGTGTAAGCAATCCCTAATTTTCTTTTAACTTGCAGTATCCTAATCAACCATTATATGATTTAATACGCGATCTCGAAAGACGAGGGAAAACGAACTGAATTATCGCCATGTACACCTTTCCTTCTACAGATTGAAATATGAATTATCTTCAACTCCAGTTACTGATGAGAATTTGTTCTAAGACCAAACAAACTACCTTCACTGATGACATTCTTAATTCCCTTCACCCCTCATGGCGTCGTTCTAAGGAAATATGAGAAGTTAATCGTAGTCGACAAGTTAGCATATCATAATACATTAACTACGAATTCTCCTTGCGCATTGCAAATAACAGCTGTTGAACAACAACAACAGCTGTTGAAAATCATGCACTTTCCTTTTCTGACGCAAAATAAACAGAGTTGGATAGCTGTTCACTTTATGCTGAAGGATTTGTCTGCCATTCGTCTGCCATAATAATCTGCTGAAGGGTAGTAGAAATAGGGGCAAATTACGTCCGGTACGGGAGATCTTATTTTAACAATCATTTGATTATCATATATTTCATTTTCATGACATTTTAGCTTACAATAGCAACACCACAGTCTTTTAGAGCACCCCCACCCCTAAATTGACCTTTTCCTGTTTGTATCTAAAGACATGAAATGTTTTTTTTTTCCTATATTAGTCACTGAACTGCAATCTGTACCTCAATATTTATCTTTCTGCTAAGTTTAAATTTAAAAAAATCCGCGATTTTAAACCCTTAACAAAGGTGAAAAAGTTGAGATGGCCTAAAATTGTATCTTTACATTTATTTTACAACTTTTGCAATACAGTGGCAAAGGATTGAAGTCATTGGAAGACTTCCGAACAGAAATTGTAATTAACAAAAACGAAACTATCTTAAGCCACTTAAAAAATGTAAACTAAGACGACCACTTGTTTTGATTTTATCAAAGAATGTTCCACTGGTTTTTATTTCTTCGAGAAAGTTCAAGACTTGCCAACAATAGGAGCTGCAGCTGTTGAACAATTTAACATTAATGTAAGTCTGTTCCTCGCCTCTAGGAATCATCATGAAGAGATTCACAAACAAAAGACACGCTCCGAGATGGATGAACCGACTAGAAAATTTACTTTGTACTAGACCCTGCAAACGAGATGTGCATGTGGCGTTGAGTACTTTAATTTTCTATT